GTGGTTGTGAGGCAATCAGCTTTATGAATTGCTGTTCGAAGAAGGGATGGGAAGTCATTGGTTTGCCGAGGTTTGGACACTTGAAATCACCCATTAGCAAAACATGCGTGAATCTTTTTGCGAGAATGTGCAACATAGTGTTCAAAAGGGTCATATTGGCTGATTCCGTGGCTGACGGAGGGCGATAGAGGACACCAATCAAACAGTCATCGTGTTTGGACGGTCTCAGTCTACACCACAGAGTGTCAGGAGTCGAAACTGGTGGATGGATTTGCTCGCAATCAAGATCTTTACGATAATAGAGTATAACACCACCGCCACGGGTAGGATGGTCACATCTAAGCAGAGACATTTCTGGTAAGGACAATTCGGAGTCCGGAATATCAGCTGTAAACCACGTTTCTGTAACAGCAATAGTATCCCATTGACCTGATATGAATCGAAAATTCAGCTCTGAAAATTTGCTGAAGAGTCCTTGAGCATCGGTATGGCAACAGTTTAAATATTTTCGGTGTAGAAATCCGATTGGATTAGAAGTGATATCTTGGCCGACCTCTTCGCGGTCGGCTGCCATTAGTTTTTTGACAGAGAAGCTCTGGTTTTTTGGACCACTGTTTGCGGGACGGAATTTGGTACTTGCACTGAGTGGTCCAATGTATTAGTAGGGTTCTCGCGATATGAATGTGTTTGGAGCCTGGGATTGATTAATGGTCTCACACGTAGTTCCGGTGGCCCTCTGCTCTTTCGTTCTCGCCATAACTGCAAGACGGTGTTGACCATGCCTGGAGTGCCAAGGGTAACTTTCTGGTTTCTTACCGCTGTTCTATCCAAATCGGGGCACCCTTTTCTTGCTTTGTCACTCCAGATCATGTTTGTCTCCCAGACTCGTTCGACTGAGTGATCGATTTCAGTTCCGTGTATATTTACGACCACTAAGCATGATGCACTTTCGTGTGGCGGTTCTCGTTACTGTCTTTTGCTTGCCCATTCGGATGAAACGGTTCAATCAAAAATCGGAGTTTGGAGGGCGATGTGAAAGAAAAAAAGTAGAGAATTATGATCGATTAAGGTTGCACCAGCTCCACTGTTTACGATACTCAGTCATATTACTCAGCGTGTTTAACAGTGGTAGTGGTGGTGGTGGTGGTGGTCCAGATCATGCATCTGCTCACCTGTCCCTGTAACCATAGTCTTCTTGAATTCGCCATATTCAATTTGACATTCCGATATTCCCTTTGCCTGTGTGTTTTCACCCAAACAGGCCACCGAGAAGGAGGCAGAGAGAGAGAGAGACCTACAGCGACCGCACGAAAGTGCACGGATAATGGTTATAAAAACTGAACGGTTACACTCATCTAAATGAACTTACGGCTGTTATTGTGTGTGTGTGTGTGTGTGTGTGTGTGTGTTGCGCTCCTCGCTTAGACGCACACCCAAACACTCGCATGCATGAAACGATCAGTGTGACCTTGTCCGAGTTTGTGTTCGTCAGTCGCTGGGCTCCGACTATGCCATAAACCAAAGTGTCTTCACCATGCATACACTGTCAATTAGAAAGCGCAGCTTGACAGCACGCATAATCATTTCTGTGACCCTCAATTAATTAAGAACCTCACTGTGCAAGCACACACACACACACACATACGTGCAATATCTAAAGCCAAAATTGTGGAGCTTGCGGATTATTGTAACTAATTCCCAACCGCTCCCCCACCCCACCTCCATTCCCACTAAACCAGAAAATCACCTGCTCCTGTGAATGGGATACCATCAAGATCCTGTCTTTATTGATCTATCCCTCGACCGCCACCGCCCGTACCTCTCATTCAAACGGACGGAAATGCACGAAAACATTATTTCGGTTCAATAAGTCCGACTGGAAAATTTTGATTATCGGTGTTCATGTAGTCTAACCCACATGGGATGAAACGAACGGGTTAGTAATTAATCTCTGGAGGTATGCTTTCGTTTGTGTTCTGAGTTTATTGGGGCTAAATTTTCTAGCACATCAAATGCAGATTAGTAGATTTCGCTGACCAGGACACGTTATTGCGTATGCCTACCAGTCGTCTGCCACACAGCGCGTTATTCGCAGTAACCGATCCGGGCTTGAAGAAACCACGTGGAGATCAACAGATGACATGGAGACGAGGCATGAGGAAATGCACAGAGCCATTAGGTATAGTAGGTGTCTCACGCCTTTCAGGTTCGAAAGACTGTAACTGATAGGTTGAGGGCATTGAAGGTTACAACAACGAACCGACAGTATTGGCATACTTGTTGTCATTTCTTATCAGGCCGAAATGCTTGAAACGATATGCATGCCGAGTTCAATTGTGCACTCTCTATGTTGACCATAGAGACTCATCTTCTTTCCTCTTTCCTGAAAATAGGTCCAACGTTAAATACTGTCACTAACCTTGTATGCATGCATCGCGAATTTGGCAGCGATCAGCGAAGGTCACTTCACTCTAGCTCGCTACACAATAATGATGATGATGATGATGAACAATCCCCGGGGCTTATTCGCCGCTTGTCGCTTCTCGGATCACGGTTTCACGCACCGGGAATAGCTGTCGGAAGACTTGGAAGTGTTTTGATGTTGTTGTTGCTTTGTCGGACCTACTTGTGTCATTTCCGAATCGACATCTGGGGAGAAGGAGGGATGAGTGCTTCCAATATTCTCGTCAGTAAGATGTCACGTGTCTAACCGCTAATCTTCCTCCTTTTTTGTGCTAGTCGTTGATTGTTATTGACAAGCATTGCTTTAAACATGAACGTGTACGACCGGATGCGCTAGCCCGATATGTGTGCGGTTTACGGAAGAAACTTTAACGCTGATCGAATTAGGGCCGGGCATGACCAAGGGACGCGGGCGGTCGTGCACGTGGCGTTGGGACTTTCGGGATTAGGGGATCTTGGGATCAGTGTAAACGCTGGTTAGAGACACAATAAGTGATATGCTTGAGTGATCTCAGTCTATCCGGCTTCAGTATCCTTATCCGGCCGGATACGGCTT